CCTTCGCTGTGCAACATGTTCAAGCACGAAACCAAGGGCAAATGCAACTCCAATAGTCTTAAAGCAGAGTAGCAGTATATAGCTCATTCTTCCCAAAGGACCCTGTGATAGACATGCATTTTGGAGTTTCCTACGCCAAACGCCGTGCTCTGGTATTTCTGGTGTTTGATGTGTTGGATGCCACCTTGATGAGCACGCTACTGCCCACTGCCCATCAACCATAGCCGTCCTTACACATCCTGTGCCCTCATGAGGGAAGTCACCTCATGTTGAGAGGGCTGTCCGTGTTTCGCCGATTTGATATATGCAGAGACCGCTGACCGCACTCTTTTGCAGATTCAAAGAACTCGCACTCAAGCCGCGCGCAGGGGTTCCAGGCAACCACCTTGAGGTCACCAGTGCATTCTCGAAATTCTGCAGGGCATGACTTGAGGATCAGGAAGGAGGTTTTGGTCACTGGGCTGCGGAGAATCACCTGCAACGACACATTTCTGGAGACGACCCCATCACGCTGCGAAAAGCAAGGGACTGGTCCTTTGCACCATGATGTTTTGGATGTGGAGCGACAATCTGGAGTGAAAAACCTTTCATGAAGAGAAAACCGTTTGGAGAACTGAAACCAAGTTCCTCTGTGACGAGAAGGACCCCATTCTCGCTGGCCGAGCTGGCAAAGAGGGCATTGTGCGCGAAGACGCGAAGACACACTGAAAGAGGGAAAGGACTTGTGGAGACCAAGGTTGTCACGGAGGTCATTTCGGTGGCTTTAGTGAAGGACCGATGTTGCCCCCACAACAGCATTCCAGATCTAGAGATATACTAGATAGTAGATAGTTTCTTCAATAGGATAGGTCCAGATCTAGATAGTCCCAACGGTATGCGATTTAGATCTATATAGATATGATATATAGTTCCTCAAAGTGTCGGCTATTTTCCTTCGCAAAAGCATTCCCAAGGGGCCTTCGGGGGGTTCATCGCTGGGCTCGGCACGTGTGGACGATGGGCCGATAAAATTGGGTTTCTCAGGCGTTTGGTTGGGGTGCAACCGCTGCACTGTAATTGTAATATCTGAATAGTTACAAAAGCATGTTTTTGCCAACTATGGCAGTGCAGAGGACTCCCCAGCTAAACTCCACCAAAGAACGACTATTAAACGGACTATTCTTTGTGGCCAGACCGCTATTACACAACCATTATCATCCCCTGGAATACGGCAGGGCCATCCAAAGTTTGGTTACCAAGGCCCTCTCAGGGCCTTTTCAGGGAACGAAACCGTATCACGGTGGGATCCCCACCTCTCTCCGCATGGATTCAGATGGTGGAGCCATCGATCTATTCCATAAATCCATCAACGTGACCTCTGATGACAGATTTGGGTGTGTATTTTAATAGGGAGACCCCCAACTAAGGGGATTTTGGTTTATTTTCCTTCTTCCAGGGTGTCGTTGCCTGGGAGGTCTCCCTGTTTGAGCTACACACCAATATTTCATTGCATGTATCGCTGCTTCGTCCATCCCACAACGGGTGGACGCAGAAAAAAGCGTTTCATGTTTGCACGGCCGGATTGGCCCAAGAAAACTCAGAGAAAGAACACTAAAAGAACTCCCCACGCTTCTCTGCCTGGGAGGCCATCGATGTTCATACGAAACTGGTAGATTGAACAAGGGAACCCTCTAGCTTGAGCAAATGTGACAGGGCCAATGATTTTTGAGACAGATGCAAGACAGCTGTCTTCACGTCCGATGCCTATCAGATGAAACAACCACCTTCAGTCGTGCTGGTTCGGAGAATTTTCTGGGAATCCAAGCCACACGGGTCTAACACAGCCTCATCCGCCCACAACATCGGGCTAAACCGATTCATTTCTAGGATACAAATCCATTTTCACGTGGGGGAAGACAAAGCCATGTATTTAAACAGGGAGACCTCCCAGGCAACGACTCCGAAGGTTGGGGAATATAGACCAGTCTACCCAGCCATGGCCCAATGGCCAGGAGGTCTCCCTGTTTGAGCTACACACCCATACCCTCAAAGTCAAAGATTATTTTAAACATGGTCTTTGGATGACCTGAAAAGGAATTTCCCTTTACTTGGGTGGATTGGGTGGTGTCAACATAGTGTTTGGACTTCTAAGGCATATGTTGTCTCCCAAGTCCATTGAGTCTTGGGTGCTCCTGCCTTGGCCGAATCACACCACCAACGACTCGACGATGGGCCGATGGCCCGATGGTGGCTGTGGGCAGCTGGGAGCTGAGATTGGGCCAGCTGAGCTGTTTAGTACGAAGGAAGTGGTGGTTGTACCTGGAATGAGTAAGGCTATTTTCTTAAGAAACGCACTTATGCACTCTTTCCAGGTACTACAACACTTGGTTGAACTGCTTTCTGCTTGTCACTGTGTTGTGGCGGCAGCGATGGTGGAAGTGTCGCTGGTGATGTTTTGGAATCTCGGAGCGAAAGACAAAAGGGGTATCACTGGGTCGGAAAGCATCGCCAATTCCACCGCCAATAGACCCAACCAGTGATGGGCCCAGGAACTTGCCGTGAAGCATTACACTCAAGATGTCCCCTTCTTGCAGCCTTCAAAAGCATGACCTGTTGAGCAGCAATTGCCATCCATGTTCTGTCTCACCATGTCTCTCCTTCGCGGTTCGGCATACGGACCAACAACACTGTAACAGTGACCGCGGTGATCGTCCAGTGACGGTGATCGTCGGTCTCACCCGTTTCGTCCTCGACATCTCACCGAGGTCCTTGGGATCACCCACGTGGAGACGGAGGTGCGACGAAGCACCGAAGCGCCGTGAACCCGAACGAAAGAGACGTTGACGCGAGGGGAGGGTTTGGGGGGGGCAGGTTGACCTGTTGGAAGAACTACTGAGGTTGCCAAACGACTGAGCTGCCCAAGAGATGAATTGAAAACGAAAAATCATGTCCAGTTTGCACTTGCCTAGGTTATTGAACACGCGATGCCTAGGCATGTGATTGAACACCGCAGCATTTGCGGCTGCAAAGCCCTGAAGAGTCCCAAGAAAGACGAAAGCTAGGCATTTAAAATCATTAAAACATATTAAAACCCTTGCTGCAGTCGTAGAAAAGCTGCTTTGACCTGTTCTAAAGTTGTGTTTGAGCTGTCAGAAGAGCTGCCAATCTCACGATGGGTTCAGTTGAACCAACTCTCTTCCCTTCGCCAGGGAACGTCTTGTAGCTTGGTCTCCTTGGCCGCTCGGAGTGGACCTGGGGCCTGAGGTAGGACTTCTCGGGTTGGGAGGTGGTTTGGACTGTTAGACCAGCAGGTTTGGCTGCTCCCACAAAACCTCGAAGCCAAAGCTCTTGGCCCGAAAAGAACTCTGTCTGTCTTGAGGACCTGGAGAGTCTTGTGTGAAGGGAGGGTTCATGATTTGGATCCCACAAATGCATACTAGTGGAAGCAGGGTTGTGATGAACGCGCTGAGATTTGTACTACACAAACGGGAGTCCGTCGGGGTGTAAAATACTTGGTTGATCTTGATTTGAAGCTCAGCTCCAGCATTTATCCGCCAGGTCTGGTAGGACATTTGTGAAAGATCACGCAAGTGGGTGGGTTGTTTTCCCTTGAGCAAACATGAACACCTTTGGACAGGTAGAGGTAGAGGAAGCTGCCGTTTTTCCTGCAACCAGCAAGGCCCGTGGTGGTTTCTTTGTGGATTTAGTGGGTTTCCTTCAGTGCTGCATTTGACCGAACAAAAATAAAACAATCGCGACCGAACCCACAGATGAGTAAACACTCCTCGATCATAGCTTGTTAGCTTGTTCCCTTCTAAATCGGTTCAAAGTAAGTGTAAGTGTTGATGGCTACCAGTGCCCGGAAACGTGGGTCAACCCAGAAAGAGTTCTGGACGTTCCAACATGGCTAGAAGTGCCCCTTGCATCGCGCTGACCGGGACCGGGGGGGGAAACATCCAACATCCCGAACGGTTTCGTCGCTCGGGCGCCACTCGGGTTTCCACTGATCGTGGACGGTTCGCCTCGTGGTGGACGTTCGCCTCGTCGGGGTGGACGTTCCTCAGGTTCTCACCAGCCATGGGCGGCCGGTGGACTTGCAACCGGCCTTCATGCCGGATGTCTCCCTGGCGTGTAAGAGGGTTTCCGAGGGGGCCACGCGTCGACAGCCAGGCCCCATGAAAAGTATTTGTTTGCAGAGCTTTGATGCTATAAGATGGGTTGGGTTGAAGGGGTATGAAGAGGTGATTGTACCAGTTTATAAAAGTTCAGTTCAAATTTGGAATGGGAGAGGATGAGGCATGATCAGTGGAGTTTGGCAGCATGAAGAATCACATCGACGAGAGAATGACCACAGCCCGACTGCAAAGTCCTTGTGTCACGCCGTAAGAAGCTCCAAGAGACCTGGACCTTTGCCGCTTACAGTCCAGGCAAATGGGACTTTCAATCGACCCTCTTCTTCGGAACTAGCATGGAACTAGTGGTATTTGAGTTTCTTTCAATGTCACATAGGTTACATGACTATAGGACTTTTGTTCTCAACAGAAAGCAAAGGCTTCCCTCCTAGCTGCCTCGCGTGCGACCGTCGCACCGTCGATCGACGGCCCAGCTGATTCGAACACGAGCGGTGGCTTCTCTTCACGGCTCCCATGCGTTTTTTGCGTTGTTTTCCTCACGCGGTTCAGAGAAGCTGTTCTGAAACCCATGGTATGTATGGTCCGAGTTCGTTTTCGGAATCAGTGGACGACTTGGCCCAATTTGTGGAGCATCATGTGGGCCCAAGGTGGTTTTAGGCGAACTCTCCAACTAACTGGAGATTGTCAACTTGGTGGAATGAGTGAGTCTGTAACCTACTGTACCCAGAAAAAGTGGAGAACCCTTAACCATTAAACCTTGTTGGGAGCATGGTTTGCCCACCCAAAAAGAGACGCACTCTTTTCTTTTTCCAGGGATCTCGTGATCTCCAGGAGTCAGGGAGTCAGGGAAGGGCTCTTCAGGGCCACTTCTCGCACCGGCACCGCCTGGGCTCGAGCGGCGCTGGGCCGTCCCCGCACGGCGGCGTGCACGGCGGCGTCCTCCCACGAGGCGCCAGGGCGCGACAGTGGGGGTCGTTTGAAGGAATCCATTCCTGGACACCCCGGGTTAGCCCAAGCAGAAACTGTTCGGGATGTTTCAACAGTCCGAACCATGTGTTATTGTTGCGTAAAGCATCTCAAGCAAGCCGCCATACATTTGGAACAACCATTTCTTTCTGGTTGATGAGACTGAAAGGAAAGCTGGTTCAGAACTCATGTCTCATGTATATAGATCCATTTAGCTTATATACAGATGTTTACAGGATGCTTGGAGCATGCTACAGTCTTGCCGTCAACAAGATCAAGATGCAGCAAATCACATGACCATAGATGCCACATAGATTCTTATTGTATGGTTTCTGACGTATGCTGTATGCGTGTCACTAGGTCTTTCACGGCTTTTTAGGTGTACCGCCACATGTATCCCTTTTTGTGGGGCACCATATTGAGATCTTCTACCGGGAGCTCTGCCACCTGGTGGTGGCCGCCCGGTGGATTCGTCTGTGGTTTTGTCCCACGTGGATTGGATTGGAGCTTTTGGAAGTAGGGCGTGGTAGCTGATATCAATCTTTCTTCAGGATGATGCAGAACCAACGTGACGACGAGTTTCGTGTTTGCTGCCATGACTGCTGAAGCCATCCGTGCCTGCTGAAGCCCTGCAACGCCTTGAGGTGCCAATGTCGTACCACGCAGCCGCCAGACAGGAGGAGGAGGGGTGCCGGTGGAATGGAAAAGGCAGATTCGGTGGAGCTGGAGAATCTGCATGCAAACGAGCGTCCCTTCCCCTTCTGTTTCCTTTTTCCGTTTTGATGGGGGAGAGGAGAGAAGAGGATAGTTGGAACTTCCACTACTCAATGGAGGTAAAGGACCAGGTTTTATTTGGGTCTTTGGACTTGTAGGGATTTGTTGAATCTTTGCCCCTGTCCATTCTGAAGGCTTCTGAAGGCTTGCGGGTGCCAGGTACTTCATCGAGGGTACTTCCATGTCCCTGGTTTGGTTGAACCCTGGTCGTGCGGATCGGATGCGGATCGGTCCATGTTCGCCGAACAGGTCAATCCTCTTCTGGTGGTTGCTGTTTCTGGTTTTTCCTGGTATGGGAAATCCAAGAAACAGCAACCACCAGAAGAGATCCGGACAGTTCCTTTTCCTCGGTCAGTGGAAAGGGGAACTTGTTAACAGGTTCGTGAAGTCAACGTCTGCAGGTTGGTTTTTGCTGCCAGACTTCCAGACAACGAGAGCGCACAACACGGCTCGAGCGCCCACGGCGCGGACAACGGCGCATCCCACGCGGCGGCAGGGGTGGCCGTTTCCTCGTTCCCGGTTCCCTCGTTCACCTCGGGGGGGCACGCCATCTCGCACCTGGCCGGGGTGGAGTTCCTTCGGATCCCGTTCGCCGGAACCGGCAGGATGGCATGGACTTTATTTGGAACGAGTCGCCCTGCCGCGGCGGCCCTTTACACTTGGCGGTCCTCAAAGATGAACTTCCGAAGGTGAAGGCACCGGTTTGCGTGAGAGTGGGTGGGTATGAATATATACGCGCGCGAGCGAGTAGGAAGACGCGCGGAGATATATGGTGTGTGCCGCCGGGGCGGGGTTGGGTTCAGAGAGAGACTTTTTGGTCTGGAAGATCCACGTTGTTCCGGCAAGATGTTCCGGGGCACAGCATGGTTTTGGAGGTGAACATCGATGGTTTCTTGTAACTGTAGATGTTCCCTTCAAGGAATCACGAACATCGATGGTTTCCATCACCTGATTTCAGGTGGGATCATGTCGAAAGACATCGGACAGGTCACCGGCAGGTCCGAACGGTCCGACATCAGACGACGTCCGAACGGAGACATGGACGGGTCCTGTCCGAAGTGATCTGTAACAGTCAGGCTTCACAAGAACAGGACCTGGCCTATTTGTAAGGGAGTCCTCCCTTCAACCTAAGCATCATCATCCACGGACGGGTCCAGGGAATATAGGATACACGCAGCAACATATCTATAATAATAGATGTACTATACACATACATAGATACATTACGAGCATCTTGGTATATCCATTTTTTGAAATTGTCCCGAGTTGCTTTGATGATATTCTTGATGATGGCACAAAGGCACCAGTCATTCTGCTTTTTAAACTGAGTGACCGGGGAGGACTTCCAGCGATTCCCAAGTCTATACAGATGCGAACAAACATCCCAGCTGCCGGCCCCGGTTGCCAGACCGGTTTTGGTGAACTGCTGTCCACGAGTCGACACCAATTATTTCTTTGACCTTCCAAGAGCGGAAGATAGCAAAAGTACGGTCAACCATAGTGTTTCTGTATATATAGTAGAAGTTGAACACTTGTTAAAACATGTACAATAATTACGACGGAGGCATTAAATCGTGCTTGGACTGGTCGGGCATCGGTGCTCGAATCCTAATTACCTGGTTTCCTCCGTTTCCGTCAGACACCGTTTCAGCATCGCTCCTCCATTCCCGCGCACCGGCGGCCCGAGCCAACCGGGTGGCCCCTCCCAGCAGCGAGTCGCTGCTCCTGCTCCCACCAGCGGCCGGCGCTGCGGAGGATCTGGTGGAGAAGTCCAAGAGCCCTCTGGAGACTGTGAGGCGCGGCCGCGGAGGATCTGCGCGAGCCCGGCGGGGAGCGGAGGTCCCCAACGGAGCCGTGTTCGGTGGGTTTTCAGTGAATGGAAGTGTACCGAAAACCAAATACCAAATAGCGACAACAGCTTCAGTATATGGTAAATATATATGGCATATTATATATATGGTATTTGGTGTCCCCAACACTTCAGTCAGCTTGTACAAACGAGTCGCTCCACGAACGGAGACCGGTCGGACGTTCCCTGTTTCTTCGGTTCGGAAGGCTTTGAGTCGATGGGTCCAAAAGGGTCACTCCGGTCACCGGTCACCTCGCTAGTTATGCGCCGTGTCAAGCGCCAAGGGTCATCCTAAGAGTTTTGGAGATGAACACCGCCATTGATTTTGTAAAGCTCGGCTGTTACTGTGTAGTGATAGGAACCCCCTGAGGAGTGATACTTGTTCCAGGAATATCCTATGTCCTACCTCCCAATGATATGTTGACAATGTTTGGCTATTTTGGAGCGATACCTCAAACCGATACTGTCTCCGATACCTGGAGCTCCTACCGAAGTCTAGTCCGTTCGCCAGCGAGCCTCAATGCCACGTGACGCCACGAGCTCGTGGAAGGCCTCTGCAATTGGTTGAAACAATGGCCACCATATCGATGGGGAGCTTCCTCTCACCAGACACCAACCACCAAGAATCCTCAGGGTTGAGAGAGATTGTAGGGTTCTTTGTTTTTTCTTTTCTGTACGGTGGTACACATAGAGGAAACCACGAGACACGCGACACCATGGCAGCCGAATGACCGCCGCATGCTTTGACCGCATCAAACCTGATCAGCGCTGAGGTCTCCCTTTGCCTTTCGGGATCATGACACGGAGCAGGAGAGATGGGGCACGGTGCCGAACTTGGAAGGAGGATGACATAGGATGAAGACGTGGGAAGCTCCTGTGGTGGAACCTGAAGCAGTTGGGCCTGGTCCGACCTGTTTGTTTTGGTCTGGTTTTCTTTGAGGTGTATACAGACATCTCGGTGAGAAGCAGTTGGACACTTAGACTTGGCTCAAAAGCAGCATGAGGCTGTCAAGCAGATCAGCTTTCGTTGGATCACTCGTCTGTTCGCACGCACGCCCACCTGCCCCGTTCGCATGAAAATGAAGCCCGGGGCATCCTTCGACGGCCCGGGGCGACGTGCCTTTGATCCACGTAGGGAGAACGTATGTCCTCCAGGTGATACTGATACTAGACAAAGGTGGGGACAGGTGGCCTAGATGCGAGATCCATGGTTTTGTTTCTTCCCAAGGACTCGTGAAAACACCGCGTGTTCCACCACCCGAAAGACCGAAAGACCAAGACTCGCAGTTCGTCACCAGTTGAACGGGCCACCCGTTCTGGCCACCCGTTCTGACGGCAGGGATTGAACGGTTTACGGTGGTTAACCTGGAGCTGGGCCGAGAGTTGTGCGGATCACATTGACGACGTACGACATGCTCATACAACTGTTTGAGTCTCAGTTTGAGTCTCAGTCTCTGTTTGTCTCATTTTTACTGCTCCTACAACATGCTTGAGATGTGGCAGGCTCTAAGAGCAACTCAGGTTTTGAAGACCCCTTGTGTCTGCATGACTCCCCTACATCATACACCACTCCCAATAAGGGATATCGAAGAAACGCATAATTAGCTCCCAAACTGCAACACTTCAAGTTTTGGTGCATCTAAAAGGCAGGTCATCGTTTCTTTTTTGCTTGGGGTTTTCGGACCCGAACCCCCCCCAAAAAGGGAAGCACCACACACATCCACACCCCTCCTGTGGCAGGAGGGCCGCGCCGAAGCGGTGCACATCGCCGCCAGCCGTGGTCCGGGGGCTTGCCGGGTCGGTCGGGCGAGGGTGCCGAGGGTGCCGAGTGGGTGTGTAGCTTTAAATAGGGAGACCTCCCAAAGACCACCCCATCCAGATCCAAGGAACCGAAATAGATCCAAGGAACCGAAATAGATTCAAGGAACCGAAATAGACCCAAAACCATCCAAAACTGGGAAAGGGAAAAAGACCCCCTACTTGTACCTCATGTCAGGCTTGCCGCCGTGACACCCAGGAAATGGGCGGAGGCTGCGAAATCTGGCCACACTTCGCTGTGAAGGAGCGACTTCAGGCCGTTCAAGAGCTTCCCAAAAAACGAGCAAGGAACATCTGGCGGAGCGAGCGTTCTCCCATCAAGACGATGTTTTCCGATTCGGCAAACCCGTCGTGAAAGAGGTGTCGTTGGTGATGAGACACGTGTTTTCATTCTTTTATCAATTGGAATTACACATTGTGGATTGCCCAACTTCGTTATTCGCCCGCATGGGCTCCATTCACTTCCTCAGCAGATCCAGCTTCATGACGCTTTGGCAGCTCCTTCACAAACGTCTTAGTGACCAAGCGGCACAGATCATTAAGGGTCACCCCGACAGCTCCCAAGCAAGCAGTCTCGCCTTGTTCATGTTTTCTTTTGATCGCTTCTCACCGGAGAACCAACAAGTGGGACCGTGGAGCCGCTGACCTCTTCTCGGCCATCCGAGGTCACCTTGAGGTCATCAAGTACCTGCTGGAGAAACAGGCCGACCCCAACGCCTGTGTTGGGGACCCCAGGGTCTGTCCTGGCGCTCGAACAGCGTGGCACGTTGGAGCCCTGAGAACCCGAAGACGACTGACTTCGCCGTGGCCGGAATGCATACCCCCAAACCCACGGGAGTTGGCGTGGCCTTCCTTTTTCACACCCGAATCTGGGTTTGGTACGGAAGAAAAGGGTCGCAGCATGTGTTTCGTCCACATGTTCGGACATGGTCGCAGCAGAGGCAGACAGTGCTGACAGTCTGGTGTTTTCAAGTCCTAGAGTCCTAGATCAGTGGGACCAGTCCTAGGTCCTAGATAGTCCTAGGTGTTTTCAAGTCCTAGGTCCTAGATCAGCAGGAATGAGTCCTAGGTCCTAGATAGTCCTAGGTCCTAGTGAAGGAAAGCATGGGGATATCCCAACATCGGGATGCCGCCATTTCTTTGG